ATAATTACTGACATTTCACTATACAACACTATAAATATACATACCTCTGTCGAGATAACATACAGAAAATGGATAAAGTCACTTCCCCAAAGAACCTATAGTCATACACCTATTGCATCAAAGTCACCAAATCCATGCACCCATACAGAGCCCCAATGAGTTGTGTTGGTATTTGGCAGATGATCACAGATTGCACTGTATGATTAAAGTCATATCAGAGGAGCCATGTGGTCTGAGGCACTCAATTCCTTGGCCAAAAAAAAAAAAGTGTCTTTATTCAAAAGAGAAGGGTTGTGAAAAGAATTAGTAATCCAATCCCTCAACTGCAGGTATTTCAATTGATTAACTGTCAACCCAAAGGTTTCCCTAAGTTCAGCAAATGAACACAATCTGTCTTCTAACATAGATCATGTAATTTGTTAAGGCTTTTGTTGAACCATGCATCCTTCCTCCACACCCATAAAAGCGGGTGTGGGGGGTGGTATTTGTTTTTCCTATCCTTCCTATGTTGTAATATTGTTTGTTTGTTTCATTTTGAGTTAGAAAAGGAAATCTAAGTATAATGGAATAAAATAAAGGTGACTTGAAAGTACATTAAAAACAATAAGGAGTGTTGAATTAAATGCTGAATATCTCAAATATATCTCCATTTATCCAAGGCCAGCATTGCTAAGACATGCTATTTATCTTTTGGTTTCCCATGGGCTGATGCTCCAGTGTGCTCTCTGCTGGTGATGCTGCACGTATAGAAAAACGTGCTTGCATCTTGAGGCAAGTCCATTTGGAAAAGCAGTTTTCCAAATGCAGTTGAAATTTGGGGTATATTAAGGCTCTGATTTAAGCACTTGCTCAGCTTGAAGATTAAAGTAGTTAACTAGAGTATTCTGCTGATATATAAATATTTTGCTGAATCATGGTTTAAAACAGCATAATGAAAATGGAATGAAGTGTGGTGAAGGTGTTAGAAAAGTATGTGAGTTGCACAACTGAAGCGGGGGGGGTGACCAGAGCAACCAGCCCTGGTACCACTTTTGGGAGAGGAGGAGCACAAAAATAGCTGCTACTGTAGCTTCTGGCTGGCTGTGCTGCTGCTGGCAGTACAGCAGCCAGTACTGCCCTGCGTGCCACTGCTGCTCAGGGTGTGGAGCTGTCCTGTTATGCCACTATAGCAGAGCAAAAGAAACAGGAGAGAGAGTTTTAGGAAGGACCTGAAAGTCACAAATAGGCAATGTGGGATTCCAAGGAGACAAAACAGGCAGAGTGCTCTGCAAAGTATGTAACAGAAATGAAGGAGGCTCGAATGAATTTTCCATGGAAGAAACTGACATGGTTTATTGTATTTGGTAGTCATGTTGGTCTGAGACAAAAAGAAATGAAAAACTCTAGAACTCTTGGTTTATTGGGTATTTAGTGCTTTATTGGGTATTTAGTGGTAAAATGGTATTTAGTAGTAAAGCTGATGTTAACATAAAATTAAAAAACACACTAGTCAAAAGACTAATCTGTTTTTAAACCAGTATATTTTTCTATTTTCAGAGTTTTTATAGCGAGTTTTGGCTTTCATAAGCTAAATGTGTTGGTTAAAAATTTAAAATTTTAGTTTTTGAAAAATTTAATTTTGAAAAATGGTTTCAATTAGGTAGAAGACTAATGGAAATTCTAAATCATGAACAATAAAGAATAGAAGAGAAATGTGTCAACATTTCAAGAAAATCTAAACATTTCTGCAGATATTTCTGGCTTTAAAAATTGGTCCATTTCTTCAATTTTTTTCAAATGCTCTCTGCCCTATTCTGACTACAGTACAAGAGTAGGAAGAGTCAGCTTTAGGACTGTAATTTAGTGGAAGAGGTTTTCCATAAAGGTGCATGACTGAGGGCTATGTTTGCCTATACATTTGCGGTACATATATAAAATTCTAATGTAGATTTCTGTATTCTACTTCTATATCAATCTATTGGTACAGACTGGTACAGATACAACACATTGGGATTTCTAATACAAAAGTAGTGATATATTTTTGCTTTTGATACTGCCCTGCAAATTCATGCATATGTGTAATAATTCCTAGAAGCAGGCACTAGACCATGTAACCAGCCAACATAGCACATAATGAAGCTCACAGAGAACAAATTTTATCACCAAATGTCAGCTCCACCAACTCTTCCTCTAGATGATTTCCTTAGATAAATTAGATAAATGAATAAAATATTTCTGAGTGTGATAAAATAAATATTGATGGTTTTTAATACTTTATCTGAAATTCAGTGGAAATGAGGTTTACCCGCTTCTCAGCTCAGAGCTATGTGTAAAACATGATGTTTCTCAGTTATGCACCTTATCACACCGTCTACATGCAATCATCTTCCAGCTATCACTATCCATTTTTCATGTGCCAAGTGTTCATTAACCCTTTCACCCTAGCGGGTAAAAGGCAGTACTAAGGGATTTCTGTGTAGTATACCCCACATTGGGAAATCGCGCCCAGGTCCAGGAAGAAGAATGAATTTAAACATCTGTGCTTTATATATTGGTGAATTTGCTGGTAAATACTGACACATTCATTAAGGAAGTGTCTCTCATGGAATTCTATCCTAGTCCACTAAATGTGCTACTCTGTTTTTACCTTTAAAAGGCTGATGTGTCATATTTTTTGCTGTGATTTTTACTTTCAGTGCTGATAAATGTTATTTCATTTCATGAATTTTATATATATATATATATATGAATAGGGTTTTGGAACTGATTTTGTACAAAAAGTACTAGTTTGAAGAAAATACACTATTTACCTAGGCAAAGTGGGTAAAAATACCCCCATGCTGTTTTATTAGCATTGTGTGCATACTTTGCATGGGAGTAAACACCATGTACATGGCAGTACATATTAATCCCTAATCTCTCTTTCTGGAGTGTGTCTATGTGTGTATTTGTGTATGTTTAACTTTTCATATTTGCTATCCCTCCTTGTCTTAGCCCTCTGGAAAATGGAGTTGAGAACCAAAGATAAATAGTCAGCTGGTGATGTTAACTAGCTCTTTCATGCCAAAAGACGACATATGGAAGTGGTTCGTGTTGTAACAGTTAATGACAGATTGCATGAAAAACTATATAGTTGTAGCTTAGACAGTAGGATGTAACTGCAGCATAATATAAGGAAGTGGAAGCTGTTTGTGGTTATTTTGGCCTCTTCTGTATATGGTGTGTAGACAAGCAAATATTATTTTATATATGCTGCAAGTAATAATATTTTATTAACAGTCCTTGTTATTTACCCAATGACAATACAGAGCCAATCTGGTTTGCTGTATGCATATTCACAGTATAGAGACAGGATTTTTACAAATGGAATTTTATGTTACCTGACAAGCCAGGTAATAACATATCGATTCTATTAGCAAGCTATTTGCTCTTAGACTCTTTGCTTTAATGTATATTAGTTACCAAAAAAAAAAAGAGGGACTATAATGGCTTCTTTAGAAATTATACTGGACCCCTCTGGACCAGCTGAGGTGCTCTTAGGACCAGATTGGTGGGGGCGGGGGAGAGGAAGAGATGGCTTTACGCTATGCTGCCTGATTCTGGGGCTTGTCAGCCTTTGCTTTAGTACTGCCAGAAAATGCAGAGCACTCCATTTTTGCTCTTAACACCCCCTCTCATTCCAAAGGGTCTCAGTCCAGGCTGACTAAAGCCTCCCCCCATCTAAAGACTCCATTTGTCAGGAAGGCAAGTGAAAAACCCAGCCAAGTTAGCTGGAGACCAAAAAGACTCCCCAACAGGGAAAAGTCCCAGGTATCCAGCAAAGCTGATTTTAGGGCCCCGTGGTACTGCTGCTGGAGCAATACAAGTCGCACAGAGACCAGGAGGCAACCTAAAGTACTCCAGCAGGCAAATGCCTACTGAGATGCTTATAACATTTCTTTCAGAAGCACCTGGGAGGAGGTTGTTTTACTGGCTTGGGAGCTGCATTTTTTATATCCCCATTTTTCCAGGTTGGACCGCACTGGCAATGAATGCGCTGGCCTAGGATTTTGAAACTGAATCAGGGGTCGGGTGGCCATCATAGAGGACATTCCGGTTTTCTGCTCTTCTGTCCTCTATTGATACGAAACCGAATGTGTTTGTTTTTCTCTGCAACAGGACATAAAGGTGTTGGGTTTCTTGTCAATAGAGGACAAAGGGCAACTGGACTGTCCTCTATGATGGCCACCCTAATCAGGGGGTTGTTTGTTTTGTTTTAAATGGGAATGGTCTCTGGCTCTGGACTGTAAAGAGCCCAATCCTGCAAGAGGAGCGGCTGCCCAGGCACCTCTGCTCCCACAGGACTTTCTGCCTGAGGCAGGACCGCAGCCATGAGTCTCGGCTGCGCTCCTGGACTAGTGCCCTTGAAAGCACACTGACCCTCCCCTCTCGGCCTATCACGGAGGGGGCATATCTGTGGCAGAGGAGACCGGCGCGGGGGCTCCGCGAGCCGCGCCAGGTAAGCGGCGGGCGCAGGCGGGTCCCGCCTTTCCGAGTCGCAGGGGGCCGCGGCGGCGGGGGCGCCCACGTCACAAAGCCCCCCCCTCAATACGTCACAAAGCCCGCCCCCAGGGTTCTTTCTGCCTTCACCTATTGTTCGGCGCTGCCCTGCCCCCACTCGCATTCCTGCGCTCCGCCACCTGGGCCTCGCCCTCCTTCCCCCCTCACCACCCTTCGGGGCGCGGGCCTGCCCGGCCACCAAGCCTCCTCCTCCACCTCCTCGTGGGGGCGGGGGTCCCGCTGAGCCGCGCGGCTCACATTGCATTTGCCGGCGGGGAGGAAGGGGCCCCTTTTGTTTGGGCTGCCTGCCCAGCCCCCGCTCCCAGCCCAGCCCAGCCCAGCCCAGTCCCCGGCCCCGAGCTGGGGGCCCCCAGCGCTGCTCCGCCCCCCCCAGCCTGTCCCTCTCCCTCTTGTATCTGCCAAGCCTCCACCCCCCGGCCCACCCTGCCTCCAGCCCCATCATGTGATGCGGGGAAGTCATTTGCAAGTACAACAGTTCTCTGTGGTGCCCCCATTCATTTCCTGAGAGCTGCATTAGAGCCGCTGAAGGGAGACTGGTGTGTGTGTGTGTGTGTGCGCGTGTGTGCGTGCGTGTGCATGGCTGCGTGTGACACGGTGTGTGTGCGTGCCAGGGACTGAGAGAGAGGGGAGACTGTGTAAAGGCAAAGAGAACAAATCTCTCCTGCTCTGCAGCTTCTGGTCAGGTCTGTGCCTCTTCCATTTCTTATGCGAATAAACATTCCTTTTTTAAAAATGATTATTACTATTTATTATTATTATTATTATTCCTTTCTCTCTCTTTCTCTCTTTTTTTTTTTTAGTTCTGTCTTTTTTGTTTCTTTGGCCGTCCCGTGCGATCTCTCTCCGCCTGTCTGTTTCTGTCATAAGCTGGAGTGGGATCCTTTCAGATGGGTGGCAGGCTGCTCTTTTGAATGGGGCAAGTGGTGGTGGCGGTGGGAAGGGGGGGGTTGGGATGCTCTTTTGCAAAACAAATCCATGTGCTTTAAATTCCCAGCAAGGATGCAAAAGAAAAGAAAAATAAATACAACCCCCAGGTTAACATAATGCAGATTGATGTACATTAGTAGGTTCCAGGGAGTGGAAGTGTTGGAGCACATAGAAAATGTAGGGTTGGAAGGGACCTCAGGAGGTCATCTAGTCCAACCCCCCTGCTCAAAGCAGGACCAGCCCCAGCTAGCTCATCCCAGCCCAGGTTTTGTTTAGCCGGATCATCCCGGCATTGCAAGGAAAGAAAGAAATGTCCGGCTGGGTTTGGGGTTTGCAGCACTGTTTTGCCATTCTGAACCTTTATTTGCCTGCATGGTATTGGGAAGAGGTGGAGAGTAACGGGTTAAGATGAAGATGACACTGTTGGCATTAATAGTGGTCCTAGTGCTATAGTCATTATTGTCTCTGGTAGTCATGATGTGTAGCTGTCACTTGCAACAGTGCATAGTTCATGGAAGTAGCCGGGGGCTGGCCTATGGCTGTTATATTCAATTAAGGTGGACTGAGCCAGAGTTGACAAGGGAGAACTTTACATGGAGGCCAGTTGTGAAGAGTGGCTCAGCTTGGGAGCCACCACTGATCTCTTATAAGCTTGCTGTAATGTGATGAGTGAGTGCTGACCTTGGTGACATTAGTCTGTATTCATGCGAGCAGCTTCTATGCAGGAAGAATCGATTCCGATTTTGTTTGTTACACAACTGCTATTGGAACTTTCTGTGAACTTTTATATGGAGGGCAAAAAAAAAACAAAAACAAAAAGGCAACATGCCAGATCTGATTAATGGCATATTTAAATTGATTGTTTTGGGGGGGAAAAATAACCTGATCCTTTGTGTTGTATTCCCTCCATCTCTCCCTTTGACTCTTCCTTCTCCCCATGCAAAGCTAACTGCTCTGCATACCTTATGAGTAAATAATAACTTTAATTCAACTGATAAGTGCTGACTGTGTTCAGTTAAAGTATAAGTACGGTGGAATGTGTAATCTGGATAAACAGTCTGTGCAGTTGATATTGTCACTCTCACTAATTTAACTGTACGGATTGTTAAAGTACCGTTCAGCAAAGGTAATTTAAAAAAAAAAGTCAGTGAGTAATATTGGCTTTCATCAAATTACTTATTTAAAGAAAATTACTGTTCTGTAGTTACATTCCTGCTAGGGAAACAAATACTCGTATTTACATTAAAAGCATGTGCATAGAACTGCTATAGCAGACGTGCCAGTCAAACAAACGTCACCCTGTAAATCCACCTAAACCATTCCCTTCCCTTTTCTTACTGGAGGACAGAGTTGTTCAGATAAGTAAATGGTCTGATATGAAATTGGTGCTGATGACAAACAGGGTGGTTCAGGAGTTTGTGATGTGAATAGCAGTGGTCACTTTTAAACACTGGGTGTATTCAGCTACTCCGATTTTTTTTTCTGTCACTCACAGAAGCATAATATTTATTCACTTTCAAGAAACACTTTTCAAACCTTGGTTATACAGTGTCTACTGTTGTCATCAGAAAAAATTAATTTATGTTCAGAAATGAATTTGATGCATTCAGAATCAGAACAAAGATGAGCAGTTTTTTGTAAGATCAGAATGATAAACAATTTAGTTCAGTTGCATGATTTATATCGGTATGTAAAATTTGACTTGCCTGTGGCAGACTTTTTTTTCTGAATACATAAGTAAACCATCTCTGTTCCATTATCAGTCACGAAATAAATGTGTATGGTGTGGTGTGTTTTTTGGGGGGTATTTTGTGCTTTTTTGCCATATCAGGTAGATAATTCACAACAACTTTGCAAGGCTCCTTTTTTATAGCACTGGTGCATGAGCTCCATTTTCTGGTTGATCTCCAACTCTGAAATGTAATAAGAACAGCAAAGTAGTCTCTAGTGTAGACTTAGTAACTATGCTGAATAGATTAGAGATGAGGCGATATAGCATTTCATTAATGATGTAAAGCTACAGTAAATACAGTCTGACTGCTTGCTTTTTATATAGCTTTTGTGCTTAAAAAAGCAAAAAAAAAAAAAAAAAGCTTTCCAGTGGGATGCAGTCAACTTGAAAATCTCCAGGCTGTCTTAATGTACAAGAGCTCCCTATGATCATCATTGCTGTAAGATGTTAGTAAATGAAATGTTCTGTATTTTTTCACTTTCTTTGTGGCTTTGGCAGTGTCTGTATACAGTCTGTTTTGCTGTTGGTCATTTTGCTCTGACTGTACTAGCCTGATGACATCACTCTCATTCACTGCTCCCGGGGAGCTCGAATGCGCACCCAGGTCATGCTGGATGTTTTACCAATAGCAGCAGAGCGGCTGTTCTATCTGCACTGGGGACAAGGACAGTGCTCCTGATCAGCAGGGATCCTGGTTTTCTCTGATCTAAAAAAATCCCCAATTTTCGGATTTAAAAAAGTAACCTCAAATGCACATTTTTCCACGATTTAAAATGAAATGCCACTAATACATAGATATATAGATATCTCTATATCTATATATAGAGATATCTATATATAGCAGTGTTTCATTTTAGTCATGGAAAAATGTGGATTTTAAGTTAGTTTTTTAAATCCAAAAACTGGGGATTTTTAAAAAATCAGAGTAAACCAGGGTCCCTGCTGATCAGGGATAGCCAAAGCAGCCAAAGGAGAGCACACCTTCCTTGACACCTTGTTATGGCTGGGAGCAATGGGAGCTTTAAGATGTGGTTTGGGTCCTTTCTCTTTCTGTACCAAACATGGAGCCAGCGAGAGAATAAAACCAGGTAGATTGTGCAAATCTGCTTCCTCCAGTCCCTCTGTGCAGGATTGAGGTGGGGAGCTCTCCTGTTTAGGCCCCAGCTTCCCATGACATGTGGATGTTTAACAAACTAGAGGAGGGATTCCTTACTCCCTGCTACTTCTCTGTTGGTCCTGGAAAGGAGTTTAGGGTTTAGGAGGTGTTCTCTGGGTTCTGCTGCTGTTATTGAAGAGGCTGGCAGGCATGCCAGAAGGGGAGGGTTGTTTGGTAGTCATGGTGGTATTCTCAGGCCTGCCCACTCTCCCTTGCTGCAAAGGCTCACACTGACCTCATTAGGGGAACAGAAAAATCCTTGCAGTGTTTTTATTTTAAAGGAATTTTCTTTAAAATTCCCAACATTTTAGGGCATGCTTTGTATAGAGAAGGCTGTCAGAATTTTGTGTTGAAACAGATTAGAACTTGTTTGAGTTCAATGTCACTTTAAAAGAAAAGGTCCTTATCCTTTAGTATTTTGGGGTTGCATCTGCCCTGGGCTGTGCTGATGCAGAGCAATGGAGACAATAAAAAACATTGTACGTTCTTTGGGGCAGTAGCCCTCTTTTTTTATTCTATGTACAGTTCATAACACATTAGAGTCCATGCTTGCAGCTTCTGGTGCTACCACAGGGCAAATGAGTAGTAAAAATAATATAGGGAGCCTTTCTGAGCACCATCTTTCACAACTACTTAAAGGCCTTTATTACGTCAATGGCAGTGGTAAAATATTTCATTTAACTCTGGGAACAGGATTAAGCCTAGACAACTCTAACACGAATATCAGCACTAGAGATGTGGTTTAGGGTTTGGGTGAGTGTCTGGCCACATTCAGCCCTTGTGAAAACAAAGCACGAGTGAATGCAGCTCCTGATCAGAGAAAAAACAATGTGTGACCACTGTTTGTGCCAGCCTGCCCTGAGCCATAATATCCTGCAGCTGCAGGATTGCTTTGTGAAAGTTGTGTGGTTGGCACTGCTCTTTGGTATTGCTACTCAGCCTTCTGGCCTGCTGCTTACAGAAAGGATAGGGTTTTGCATTATGTCACATTTCTTCAAAAGTACAAGTTTATGTTTAAAAAAATCATTCTATTTAGACATCAACTAAATGGGCACCCAGAAGTAAGCAGTTTGTGTATTACATTATTGGGAATATAATTAACATTATTTTTTCAGTCCTTTTTTTTTTTGTGGCCTATGAAGTATTTTGAGTGTAGGGCTTTTTATGGAAATGACTGTGGTTTACCTTCCTGTGTTCTAATAGCAATAATTTCCCTTCCAAGAAATTAGATTTCATTTTATGGAAAAATTGGTAGTGGTGCAGCGCTGAGACCTTGACCTCCTGAACTCCGAACTAGCGGTTGTTTACTACAGTTGCAGTCTGTATGTGCTTGAAAGAGGAGGAGCTGCAAGCACAAGCATGCTCACTTTCCCCAACCAAGAAGAAAACATAAAGCTGCATGACATTTTATAGCAAGCAGTGGAGAAATAGTGCTAAATAGTTGTCATGACTGTTTCTGTCCTCCTAAGTAGAATATGTTATGCTCTATCTGCAAGACAGACTTGGAGTTTTGAAAGTGCAAATGTGAAAGTACGACTTCATTTCCCGTGCAACGAAAAATAAAGAGATGAGCTTTAAGATGAACGGCAGGCTTTATGCCAGGAAAAAAGCAGGGGCTTTTTACCCTAGTAAAAAGACTTTCTTAATAGAAGCCAGCATTGTTTAGTCAGTCAAGAGTACTGTGTGCATTTTAGTGTAGTAACTGAAATTTAGGCTGTCTTTTCTCAGCTGAGTAACATGGAGTTTATGTTTGTTTGAAGGCATTCTCAAATGAGAACATAAATAAGAGTAATATGTAAAAATGATTGCTTTAGTTAACATAAAAAAGCCCCAACTCTGACAGTCTTGTGAAGAGCTGCATCTTGTTG